CTCATCCTCTCGGATTAAGTGGCATATATTAAGTAGCTCTCTGAGCCCTGTGGTAGGAAATTATCTTTTACTGTAGCTCAGGAAAATACAGATGGACTGGTCTTCTGTCTGTCAGAGGAATCCCAGTGAATGATGCAATCGTTTCCTGCAGAAGGAAGAGAAAAATATGGGCTCCATGGCCCCTTGTAATTGTGTGGAGAGCGGTGTCCCCGTCTAGATCCCTGGGAAGTATTCTCAAGCTGAGAGCGGTGTCCCAGTCCAGTTCCCTGGGAAGTATTCTCAAGCTGGAGGACTTGTGACTTCTGCAGGGTCTGCCTTGACTAGACAACCCATGCTGTGGCCTCTGCAGGATGTACAGGAGATGCAGCACACCCCAAGAGACACACCTTTGGGGACAGCTTTGTGCAGGACATGCACTACAGTGCAGAATTTCACAGCCTTCAGGGAGCCTCAGAATCCCCAGAGGACTCATTAAGGAAGATTGCTGTGCCCCGTTCCCAACAATTCTCATTCAACAGGTCTGAGGTGGGACTTGGCATCCCCCTAGTTCTCATGTAATACCAAGGCCCACAGGTATGTTAACTAGAGGCCTCTTTGGCTCACCTGGTGTGAAGACGATTAAGGAAATTCCATGAATGTTTTGTGGAAGAGAGCTGGAAGAATCTTCCTCCACCCATAGACTATTTTGACTGAGTACGAAACAATCACGGATCTAATCATATGGTGGCGTCCTGCTGAAGTTATTATGTCCAATCATATGGTGGCATCCTGCTGAGGTTATTGTGTCCCTTCCGGGGTTTGCTGAATTCCTCAGAATAGCCCTTGAGTTTCTTATGTCTATTCATCAAAAAACAAGTTATTATTATTTTTTAACTTGTGAGTATGCGTGCGAGTGTGTGTGTGCGCGTGCGTGTGTGTGTGTGTGTGCGTGTGCGTGTGTGTGTGTGTGTGTGTGTGTGTGTGCCTACAGAAGCCAGAAGAAAGTGTCAGATCTCCTGGAGCTGGGATTACAGACAGTGTGAACTGCCTGATGTGGGTGCTGGAAACCAAACCCGGGTCCTCTGTCAGAGCAGCAAGAGTTCTTAACCATCAAGCCATCCCTCCAGTCCCCTTACTTGTATTTTAAACTTTCTGTTTCCCTGCTGGAGGAAGTTAAAAATGAGTAAAGACGGTTGACCGGTAAGTCTGGTTTGTAGAGTTTGACAATTTTCCCCCGCCCCCATTAAGAACGTCTCTCACCGTGTACACACAAAACTTTGATTTGTTAAAAATACACACAAAGATAATAAAGGTGCAATTTTCTCTTTCTAGCTCAGTGTCTGTGCATAGACAGTGCTACTTACAAGCTTACTTCAGTCTATAAAGTAAATTCTCTCTGTCTTAGCCACATACATGCATACATCTACAACCCTAAACCAAAGTGCTCATTTTGAACCCAAAGGGAAAGATGAAATGAATCAATGACTAATTAAGTACTCAAAGTAGAGTGTGGTGCCTGTCCTGCAGCTTCTTGAATCAGATTCACAGAGGCAGTATTTGTTCCTCACCCTCATGGAAGGGTTCTCACAGGTCCAGCTTGGGCCATGGGCTGCTAATTATCCGATTGGTCTTGAGTTCTTGCTACCACTTCCAAGATTTATACATCTAAAATCTTTGCGTGTTTCTTTTTTTTTTTTGGTGGACAAATGACAGGATATGGAGATAATAGAAACTCATTTTTATGTGTGGGCCAAAATTTTGTAGAACACTGCTTGTGGAGTCTGGGAAATAGTGTTTTCAATGAACTTGAGTACTGGGGTGGTCAGTCTGCATGCCAGCAGCACTGTCATCAGCTACATCTGACAAAAACAGTGCAGGGCAGAGGTCAGCTTCAGGAAAGAAGGCTTGGAAACAGTTTCAGTAGACACAGAGGTCTCAGAGATTTGCAGACCTGCAGGGTTGCGAAGTGAAATTGCTTTTGGTTTTCCAAAGGCATGATCATTAACCATAACATTGGTTGAGGCCAAATTTTGAGCACTGCCATAAAGACATCTTGGAGCAAACAGCCCTCACAGAAAACCAACCAAACAAGGGAGTACCAGGTAGACACCAGCATCTAGATAAACACATTGCTAGAAATGCCAGGGATGTGGTTCCACCTAAGCCCTGTGGAGTGGACACCATAAGTGCCCCGTCTTTTCCCTTGACCAATGCTGTCTTCTTCCAGCAGCTACAGATGCTGGCTGCTAATAGCACAACCTACATCCTTCCCAAATGTTCCCTCTTAGTTGATTAGAACTGTCCCGAACCTCCCACCCATGGTTCATCATATGGTGGCCTTTCCACAAACAATTCCCAAAGTCCATTTGTATGCCAGGGACAAATACTAATCTACTACCTGAGGCCCCATAGATTTCCTAGGCCTCCTCACTGACACCCAGATTTAGGGGGTCTGGGTAAGTTCTGTGCTGGCCTTTCAGCCATCAGTTTGGGGTCCATGAACTCACCCTTATTCAGGTCAGCTGTTTCTGTGGGCTTCACCTGCCTGGTCTTGACTCCTTTGCTCATCACTCTTCCTTCTCTGCAACTGGGTTCCAGGAGTTCAGTTCAGTGTTTAGCTGTGGGTATCTGTCTCTGCTTCCATCAGCCACTAGATGAAGGCTCTAGGATGGCATATAGGGTAGTCGTCAATCTCATTATTGGGGAAGGGCATTTAAGGTAGCTTCTCCACTATTGGTTAGATTGCCAGTTGGTGTCATCCTTATAGATCTCTGGAAATCTCACTAGTGCCAGATCTCTCTTCAAACCTATAATGACTCCCTCTATTATGGTATTTATCCCTGGCATACGAATGGACTTTGGGAGCCCATTTCACATGGAGGGATGCTCTCTCATCCTGGACACATGGGGGGGGCCTAGGCCCTGCCTGGGATGATATGACAGACTTTGGGATCCCCCATGGTGGGCCTCACCCTCCCTGGGAAGCAGAAGGGGGATGGGGTGGGAGGTCGGGGATATTGGTGGGGGCAGGGGAGGAGGGGAGGGAGAGGGAGCCGGGGTTCACATGTGATGCAAGCTTGTTTCTAATTTAAATAAAGAAATTAAAAACAAAACAAAACAAAACAGGAAAAAACAATTCCCCGTGGTTTTAAAGGGGATGCAGGAGGCAGAATTTTGTGTGGTGAGCTAAAGCAGCCTTTAACATTAAGTGGCCAGTGAAGCGTGGAAATGTGGCTGTGCTTTGCATGTTAATAGAGTGCATGTGACACCAGTAAGACTGCCTCACAGAATTTAAGCAACCTTCCTCCTGGAATGTATATAAAAAGGACACAGCTTGCAGGCATAGTCCTGTCTCCCGGTTTTTTTTTTTCCCTGATATTTTTGCTGGTTTGAATGAGAATAGGAAAAGGGCTGAACGTTTCGGTATACAGGAGAGTTGCTACAAAGCTGTGTCACAGTCGCCACAAAAGAGAACTGATAAGAATAGCATGGGAGGGGAATCACTACCCAAAATATCTTGGCAGGTGAACGTGGCTGACCTTCTGAGTCAGAATTCTGAGAACCGTAAGAGGGGCTACAGCACCAACTGTGTGGCCCCATTCAGTTAAAAGCCATGGGTCTTTCCCTCTGGCCACGCCACAGCCTCCATGGCTTGGCTTTTCTCTTAGCAGTTGGTATGGAGGAATGCAGTTGCTGCGAGAGATGCCTGAGTAACACCTGCCGGGGTCTTCTCATCGCGGCCTTGGCTGACACAGCTCTCCAGCCTTCCGTCTCACGAAACGTCCTGTCCCTCTGTGTATGATCTCCCTGACCTCACCGTCATACTTCCCAACAGGCCAACAATGTACATACCATGACACGCACGTGCATCCACGTTCTTTGTGGTCAAATGCCTTTCAATCACATGACCTCTGCCCTCCCAATTTGGCCCTTCAAGGGAACAAAAGTGATCTGAGTTATCTAGGACGTTTCCGACAGTGGGCTTTGCGTCACGTGGAAGATAAAGCCTAAGACCTTTTCCATGTTGTGCAGTGTCCTGAGTAAGCTGCGTTGATTTCCTCTCCCTGTTCCACCTCGTGTTACTTCTGTGTCTCACAAATCCCCAGCCTCAGTGGCTTCCTTCTGTTCTCTCTACACATGGAAACCCAAGAGCCTCCATCCACCCCACTCTTGGAGCTCAGGGCAAGCTTGTTGCTAACCTCTGTTAGCTTGCTACCCGCTTTCCCAAGGGCTTGGCCATCTTTCAGTGCAGCCTTGCAGAGCCGTTGGTAATGTGTGCTTCATGCGCAAAGAACCTGGGTTTGTATCCGAGTGTTGCTTACAATGTTTGACCTTAGGACATTCAGCTCTCTCTCTTGGTGTTAGTTTCTTCATCTGTGTAATGGGAATATCTCAGAGGGTTGTTAAAGGCTTAAACATGGAACCTAGGGGAGTCTGGGAAAATGGCTATGCTGGTATGAAGTTTAATTTTTCTAAGCATTTAGATGAAATTAAATAGGGTTGCTGAGGTAGAATAAAACCCCAAACCTGTCAGCTCACAATCTATGGTGAACATTTACAATAGAATTAGTGGGCAAGTTAGTCTCATGAACTCTACATGTAAGTATGAGAGGTAAAAGAGTGGGGAGTGTGATCAGAATGCATTATAAACATGTATTAAATCGCCAAGAACAGATTTAATAATAATAACATGAATAGTAACAGGAAATCTACAACGATGGGGAAACTCAAATGGAAATAATTCAAACCAATTGTATTCGAAGTTAATTCCATAATTAGATTAAAAAAAGACTTAAAAATGACTAGGAAACAAGAACCAATCACCTGCATATTACGTTAATTGTAGCAACACCCGTGCTGAATGGAGAACACACAGGAAAGCAACCGGCGTCCAGTGAACATCTCAGCGCCTAGAGCGGGGAGCAGGTGTCCCCTGCAAGCTCCAGACGCCCGTTTGAGAACGGTGTTCACCTCTTTGCAGACTCCACTAGGGGTGAGTGACCAGATCTGAAAGGGCCTGGGAGTTTGGGCCCCACGGATGTTCAGTACTCACCAGACAGAAGTGCGTTCTAAGACAAAGCCCCACAGTAGCAGAGCTGCTGGGGATAAGATCCAAAGCGAGTGGCAGGAGGTCAGGAGAAACGAAGAAGAAAGAAAAACCCCCGAAAGGAGGAGGTGAGGAAAAAGCAAGGTACTGCGAACATTCTGCAGTTTCAGCAAAAGAGGGCGCTCGTGAGCTGCGGAAACCACCGCATCTCATATTTAAAAAAAAAAAGCACAATGTAAGATTAAGATCTGATTCCATAAAAAGATGTCAGAAATAAAAAGGAGGGAATAACGAACATAATAGCATTTCGGCAAACAATTAAGGCATGCCGGAAATAACATGTTTACAAAGTTGACGGAAAATCCTCTCAAGAGCTGAGCGGAGCAGGCTGAGGAATTCTTCAGTGCATCTGTGGGAGGCATCCTGAAGGAAACCGTGGCGTTTTTAAGATCCTCTCCCCTCGGAAAAGCCATCTGAGGTGTCAGGTGGGCAAGCCATTTAGTTTCAAGGAGCTGACTGGAGCCTTAATGACCATCCAGGGCAGGAGGCAGGATCTTGCGTGGATAATGGAGCCAAGAATGTAAACGACGCCAGGATACAAGAGCCAAGAGGAGTGCAACCAGGCCAGAACTCAAGCAGAAAACAGCATAGAGAAGTGCTTTGGTAAGGTGCTTATACATTCTGTTGGGCTCTTTCAATCCCTCTTAATAGTTAGTACATGAGCATTAAAATGGCTTAAAGCCACCGAGCATGTGACAGTACTCACAGATGCATTGGTGTCCAAAAGGGGGAGTGTGGCGGAGGCTGGGGGGGGCAGGTCTAGGATGTGAACGCTAGCTTTAGTAGACAGGCCTGCAGTGGGTGTCTCCGCCCCCTTAAGTCCCCCCTGATCTGTGCTACTCATTTGTCCCTTGGACCCCTTGATATCTTACACTTGAGCAACTGCACACCCCCACTGTGGCTCTCAATCTTCTATCCCATCACTTTCGCCATATTCTCCTCACCGGGGTAGGCTCCACGGGTGTGTTCCCACACATGCAAGGGCCACTGATATCAGGGCCTCCCTTCGCTGGGCTCCTGTAGCAACAAAGATTCTGCAAACCTAACTACAGGTCAATGATTGCCCAATGCGTTTCCCTAGCTCTGACCTTTCTTAGCAATTCCTCCTGCTTTCTTGACATTTCTAGTTGGACATCTAAAAGACGCTTCATGTTTAGCTAACCAACCCCCAGGCCTTGAATTCTTCTTTCCGCACTCCTCCCTTTGTTTTCTCCTGTGTTTACTAGTGATCCACCCCAAAGCTAGTTTTAATCAGCATACTGTGGTGTCTCCTCTCTGAACCCACAGTGTCCACTGATGCCTCTGCGTTTCTGCTAAGGAGTCGTGACACTACTAAACATCCCTGCAAGACAACTGTCTCACAACTGCTCCTGAACTCTCCTGTACCTCAATGTGTGTTCCCACATTAGCTGACATAACAGGGCCACACAGACTGTGTCTTGCTTCAAACCGTGAATATTTCCTGACTATACTTGGAAGAGAAAGCGACATTTTGTCTGTTTATCTCTGTCCCCTCATCACCCTGGCCCTCATTAGGTAGCTGAGAACTGTAAAGGGTCCTTAGGACAAAAAGAGATGATTCTGTGGGGGTGTGGTGCTTGGTGCTGGGGACACTTGTGCAGAGCAGCCCCCGACAGAGGTCGAGGTGAGCTGCTGACTAGGTGGACATCCACAGAGGAGAGGTAATTCTAAGAGGAAAGCCTGCGCAAAGTCCCAGTGCCAGAGGCGATGGTGGTGTGCTTGAGGGGCCAGATGAGTGTCACAAGCAGTAGGACGTAAGTCCGAGGTTTGAACAGAGGCCACCTCCCATAGGGGTTTACATGCCGGGTAATTTTACTGGGCCTACTCATTAGACTGGTTGTCAACTATAATAATTCTTAACAGTTTGTTTAGATTTGGGGTTTGATCATAATTAAAATGAGGAAAGAGAGGGGAGGGAACTGTTCTGACACTTTGGTGTAATTGTGTCTCTGAGAAGAGGTGCATGTGGGTGGGTGGGGGTGGGAATGCTTCCTCTTAGGAGGTCCTTGGTGAAAGAAAGGAAACACCAGGGACATCTATCTTGGGCCCATTAGGCCAATGCTTCCACGGGAGCATGAGAGGCAAGTATCTCCTAGCTGCCCCTATTGGTCTAAGCCTTCCTCCTGTTTGAGGGGGGGTCAGAAACTCACCATTCAGTTTAGGAAGTGAGCACCACAAAGCTGCCTCTGTTGGAAGAGTCAGGGGGAGCTCAGAATGGTGTAGCATGGAAGGTATGAGTTTTTCTTTCCCCATGTATTATGGTTTAGATTGGAATGCCCTCCAAAAGCCATTGCAGAGACAGGCTTTCTCAGCGGTCCTTTGCCTAGAACCTCCAGTTTAGGAACATGGGATGGCAGATGCCAAGGATCCCGTTTGGTAGATAGGATGTCTTTTCTAGGGATTTATCATTTACCATAAGTGATGGGCATGTGTTTCTGCCGAGGCCAGTGCGTTATGTGGAAGCCATTAACCAGCAAAGCCCCCCCCCCCTTCCTAGTCTCTGCACGGTGCTGATGCTGTTCAAGTCCCAGAGAAATACAGGGATGCTGTTTGCAGTGATGATACCTTCCTTGGAAGCAGATTTTCACCTGCTGAAGTCTCATGGTGGGAGACTTTGAGGAAGACCTGCCACGGTGTCAGTCTGGACAGCCTTGCTTTCCTCTGTTCTCACGAAGGGTGGAGGCTTGGCTGGGGTTGCCAGCAACGTTCATGGCATGAACTGTACAAATTAGAGTGGGAGGGGGAAGCCTCATCTATCCCTTCCCCTTCCATCTCTCGGTCTGGTTTTGGTCACTGAAGGGAGAGACAGGGGAGACAGCGAGGCAGCCATGTGATGAGGACTCTGTGGGGGATGCAGGCTCAAAGCTCTCTACTTGGGATCCACGACAGCAAAGGCTGGGTTGACTGAGAGTTTCTCATTTCTCATATTCCTGTTGGGGGCCTCTTTAGCAGCACCAGCACTGGAACCATAAGGCGCAGCATCCCAGGTGTAGACCTTGGGATTTTCATAAACACAGGAGACGAAAAGAGAGAGATCAGGACAGATGTCCTACAGGACAGCTTAGGATGTATTCACTCTCGTTTCCTGATAACCAAGGCAATATGGAGGACTTGAGAAGCAGTAAGCAACTGTTGGAAACCAAGGGGTCAAGAGATGGAGGTCCAGTCTAGGGGCCTGGTACTCTTTAAAAATGTCATTGAGGTTTTGGGGAGCTCCTCTTTTCTGTGTTTCTAATTTCTCATCTCTGAAATGAGGAACCTGGGCCTAAGAGACCTGCTTGACCCCCCCTGGATCTAATATTTCGTGTCATTCTTGTTTGCCACAGGGATTAATTACAGTTCTAAGATCATGCCTTTACGTTAGCTCAGCCCCTAGCCTCAGACTCCTGGGCGGCTCCCCACGACACACTCGCATGCCGTGCCCCTGAGCTCCGCGGTCTGCACAGTCTCTCCGCTGCCCAGCCTCTTATCTCCCAGTCATCTCTTCACGAAATCTCCATGCTCACGTCAGTCCTTAAGACGGACGGAACCTTGCGACATCGTTACCAAGACGGATTTTACCGCACAACCGCAGCTTTGAGGCTTCCTCCTCAGACATGTCCTCGCACGCTACACCGTGCGCAGCACTATCCCCGGCCTGAACGCCGTGCTTCTCTCGCTCTCTCTGTCATCCTCATAGCCTTTGCGACTGTCTGAAAAAGGGATCAACATTTACTTTAAACGGGGTAAACGCCAGGACAGTAGGACTCCTGCTTGTTTTACTTACCGCTATACTCCTCGTGTTTGTCTTACATCAGATACACGTAACCCTTTATTGGTAGGAAAATAACACAAATGCTTCTCCAGCAACAGTCCAGTCTTTGAACAGACATGGCAAAGGGAGTCTTTGGAATTAGCTGTGGGAACTTTGTTTTTTTCTAGTTTGAATTCTGAGATAAGGGAGAGGTTTTCTCCACATCAATTCCAGCTAAAGATGAGTTAGAAACAATATAATGTCTGGTAAGATCCAGAGAAGGAAGTGCCAGGCACCAAGCACCGGAAGGCTCTATGGCACGAGACATCTTTCACTTCCTACAACTTCACGGCAGGCACTAGGCCCTTGGTTTTGAAATGAAGGAACTGGATTGCGATGCAATTCAGTTACCTGCCTGTGGTCACCCTTCTAGAACTTGTTGGGTTGAAATGCAGGCACCAAGTCGTGTTAATTGTCTCTACCTCGTTGTGTCTGTAATGGGTGTCTCCAAGGCAGCCATCAAGATTAGATTCCTTTCTTGAATGATGGAGAAAAGCTGGTTAGGTTTTATTACAGGGGGGAGATACATAATAGACAATTAGCAACGGCAACGAAAGCATAGATCGGAGTCTTGGAATGATGAGACCACACACTTCTTGTTCTGTTTGTGTGTTTTTTTGTTTTTTTGTTTTTTTTTCTGAGACAGGGATTCTCTGTGTCGCTTTGAAGCCTGTCTTGTTCTTTCATGGGTGTGTCAAGTGGGTGGCTCTTCATTCTCTCTGACTGATGCAGGGTTTTGCAGGTTTTGCAATATGTGCTAAAGCTTCTCTAACCAGAGATGCTCCTTAGGGGAGGCTTTCTACTGGAGAGCAACCTGACAGGAACAACAAGCCTTGCCACTGTCCTGTACCACTCCATCTCCAGCCAGAAACGGACACAGCATTGGGACAGAGATGCCTGGGAACTGGAGAAGTCCATTGATGGGGAAGTCCTGTATATATGTCACTAAAGCACTGTTGGCCAATAGGGAAGCAAGATAGGTGGGACTAGGAGTCGAGCAGAACTCTGGGAAGGAGAAACACAGGGAGTAATAATGTAGCCCGCCAGAGAAGTAAGATGTCCGGACCCCTTTCTCCGGTAAGAGAAATACTTAGATGGGTTAAATACTTAAGTCAGAGCTAGCCAGTAAGAAACAAGCAAACAGCCAACAGCTTCATAATTAATACAGCATCCTATGTGTTCATTTGGAGATTGCAACGTGGCAGAGCCCAGGCGACTGGTGGGGAAAAACCAAAGCGGCTGGCAAGGAAAAGGCTTCTCTCTACAATCCATACTTGCGGTGGACCACGTCTGGGTGCTGGCCAGCTTGAAGATCTGAGACTCAGTGGGAAGGGCTTGCTGAGGTTTCCACGAGCTGTGGTGTGAAGTTGGGAGGATACGGAGGAGGAAGCTGAGGTCGGCCTTGTCCTTTCACGTATCTTCCCTGCCACCCAAGAGCCAGGGAAAAATCACACTGGGAAGAGCACTCATTTCACAAAGGAATAAGCACACCTCTAGTTGTCACAATTCTGTCTATTTGCCTCTGTAACAACCAACAGTTGGCTTTGACCGTGAATGGAAGCTAAGCCCAACAGCCTTAGCAGGGATGGCCCATCCCAACGCTGAGTTTGGTCATTAGTCATTGTCAAACCATTTACTGTAGCACTGTTAATATAGTGGTTCCTTTTGGTGGCAGGATACCCAGGTGTACTGTATTATTCCATAGTTTCTGTTACCTGTTTTGTTAGAAGAAGCTTAGTACAAAGTTTGAGGTGCAATAGGACCCCAAGCCTACTTGTGTGAATTTAAATTGAAATATAACATAAATGATATACTTTGTAAAATTTTACTGAGTCAGCAAAAGTCAACTGCCTTCATGATGAGAAGTTTGGTTTGCTTTGTTGAATGGGGACTGAGCTTCATTTTTTCAGGGGTATTTTCAAGTCTCAAATGGCAAACCATTTAGTGATTTAATATGCACAATCATCCAGAGGAGTGCTCAGGTGTTTGAATGGGATGACTGTATATGGATGACCTATTTTGAAATTATAGATGCAGGGAAGACAAGCAGACTCTTCTATCTCAGCATGAAACTAGGATGCATTTCTCAAGCACATTAAAATGATTATTTTCCTGGGCCAGCAAGGTGGTTTGGTGGGTAAAGGCATTTGCCACCAAGCTTGAGGACCTGAGAATGGGCTAATATAGTGTGAAATACTCAGATGGTAGTGATTAAAAAGCAGGTATTTGAAGGATTAGTTCCGATTTCCTGCTCAACCATTCTGAGATGACAAAGAAGCCTCTCTCCCCTTCAACTCTCCCCTCCTCATCTCTGTTCTCACAGAACTGATGCTTGGTCCAAGCAGAATGAAATAGTCCCTAGAGTCTGTTTCTACAGAAGCTTTATAGTCTACTCTACAGACATAAGAGAACCACTTCAAATGCTATCAAAATCAAGTAACTGTGGAGACATGTCTAGAGGACATTGCTACCCAAGGGCAGGTCCTCTCACAATTGCATCATTGACTGCCCTCCCTGTTCTGTGTTTGTCTTGTAAATGATGTTGGTTGGCACACAGTTTAAATGTGTATATTTATTTAAAAAATTGGTATATTGTGGCTGCATTCAGTTTTATTCATGTAAGAAAATACTTTTCTTTTACATCAGAAAAGAGAGCAAAAGAAGAATGGTCAAAAGGTTTTACAGCCTCCATCAAATCCTGAGGTTAAGTAAATAGTGGTGCATATATTTTGTGGGCTATTGTGCAGTAATGTTATCTATGTATCTGTTAGAAGATAATAGGAAAAAGTTGTCAAGACATACATTAGCAAGAAAGTCTATATACCTTATGAAATTATATATATATATAATATATTATTATCTGTGGATACATATATGAGAGTCTAGACTGAGAAGAAAATATGCCTAGTCTTTTTCTGGCAAGAGTATGGTTTGTTTTAATTTTCATCTCAGTGCTTTTTTCCTCATTTAATTTCAGTGAATTCTTCTGTAAATATGAATTATCTTGTTAATCATAATTAACTAGTAATATATATTAAAATAAAAGGCTGTTCTAGGCCAATTTTCCTTCTGTGTGTTTCCCCATCTTAGTCACTTAAAGGTAGCCAGTAACATAAAATAACTTTTTGTTCTGCTTAAACTGTAAAAATAAAATCCACTCTGATTTTATTTTCTAGAGAACTTAATTATAGCTGTTATAGTATATATCTTCTAATTATGTTAGGCATGTATGTATACATATATATTCTTTTTGCTTGAAAGAGAAATAATTTCCCGTCCTCTGGTGCAGAATCACTGTATTTCTTTTAAAGGCAAACGATTTAAGTATTCTGAAAAGAGAATAATGCAATTCTTTTATGATCAAATACAAAGGCACCCAAGTTCATAAAGGAAACACTACCACAGCTTAAATCACACACATTGACCCTCACACACTGATAGCCACTGATAGCAGTGGACTTTAAAACCCCACGCTTGCCACAGAAAGGTCATTCAGACAAAGCTAAACAGAGAAACGGTGGAGCTAATGGATGTTATAAACCAAATGGACCACACAGATATTTGCAGAACTTTTCACCCGAATGCAGAAGATTATACTTGCTCAGTACCTCATGGAACTTTTCCCAAAATTGACCATATACTTGGACACAAAGCATGACTCAACAGATACAGGAAAATTAAAATAACATCCTGCATCCTATCTGATCACCATGGATAAAGTTGGATATCAACAACAAAAGCAACAACAGAAAGCTTACAAACTCATCGAAGCTGAACAACCTCTACTAAATGAAAAATAGGTCAAAACATAAATTTAAGAAATTAAAGACTCTTTTAGAATTGAATGAAAATGAATATATAACATACTCAAGCTAAGTTTCTTATTTTTATTATCTTTTTAACATTTTCCTTGCATATATTACATCCTGATCTCAGTTTCCCCTCCCTCCTCTCCTCTAGCCCCCCCTGCTTTCCCTCCCCCCCCCAGATCCACTCCTCCTTTCTCTTCAGAAGGATCAGGCCTCTTAGGGATATCAACCAAACACGGCATATCAAGTTATAATAAAATAGGCACAGTCCCTCATATTAAGGTTGGACAAAGCAACCCAACAGGAGGGAAAGGGCCCTCAAAGCATGCAAAAGAGTCAGAGACAACCCCCATGTTCTCTGTTAGTAATACCATAGGAACCTTAAGCTACACAACCATAACATATATGTATGTATATATGTATGTATATATATATATATATATATATATGTATGTATTTTCCAGCCTCTTCTGTAGGGGAGGTACTCTGAATGCTACCAAAAGAGAAATGTAAACCAACCCAGCCACAAACCCTCTGATCTTCCGTGGTGCTCTGACTACAAAATACTCTGGTGCAAGGTGGCAAAGGCTTGAGAGAGCAGCCAATCAATATCTGGCTTAAGGCCTACTCCATGAGACGGAACCCATGCTTGGCACTGCTTGGATGACAAAGAGTTTGACACTAGACAGCCCAGGGACCTATCTGTGGTTAAAGTCAAATACTACTGTTCATAAAAAAGTAGCAATAAAATGACTCCTAATGACATTCTGCTCTACTCATAGATCAATGATGAGCCACCATCAGAGAAACTTCCTCCTGCAGCAGATGGGAGCAAATAGAGAGACCCACAGCCAGACACTATGCAGACAACGAGAGACCTTGAGACACTCAGCCCTAAATAGGTGTTTCCATTAAATCCCTCCCCCCAGGGCTCATGGGACCCCTGCAGAAAAGGAGGCAGGAAGAAGGTAAGAACCAGGGAATGGTGGGCACCAGGAAAACTAGGTCCCTTAAGTCAACAGGTTTGATAGGCAAATGAACTCACAGAGACCGTGGCCCACATGTGTCTGCTGCAAATGGGGTTCTAGGGCTGGAAGGAGAACTGGACACATGTCCTATCCAGAGCAGAGGGAAAGGAAATATTAATCAGGATTTATTATGTGGAACAAAAAGCTATTTTCAACAAAAGGAAAAAAGTTATATATGAGTTAGGTTCTCAAGAGAAATGGTACCAACAGCACACACTCTCACACACATATTCACTTACAGTCACTGGAGCTGGTGCGTATGATGACAGATGCTACCTCCCTTGAAATGCCTTCTGCAAGCTAGAAAACCAGGGATGCTGGTTATGTGGTTTGTGTAAATTTGGAGGTATGACCATCCATGGTACTGCTAGTGTTAACTCTTGGAATCCAAATACCTGAATAACAGTAGTTCTGATATCAAGGGCCACCTCAAAAGAGAGGGACGAAGAGAGGGACTAGAAGAGGGGGCAAGGTGGAGAGAAGGAAGGGCTGAGGGGAGAAGGATGTTAATATTTGTTTTCTCTTTGTGTTTTTCTTTTTTTGTTTTTGTAGTCCTCAGCTGATCGAACAATACCCATGTACACTGGTGAGGGTGACCTTTGCCCAGTCTACAGACTCAACTTACGATCTCTTCTGGAAACAACGTCGCTCATGTACAAAATTAATGCCGTATCAGCTATTTGTGCGTGCCTTAGCTCAGTCAAGTTCACACACACTGTTAACTTTCACATTACCTAGGAGAAAAATGTAGTATTTCTTATTGTGTATCATTGCACACACAAAGACTCCTGAACGGCTGTCTTAATTACTGTCCTATTGCTGTGCAGAGAAGCCATGGCCAATGCAACTCTTATAAAGGGGAACGTTTAATTAGCAGCTTGATTGCAGTTTAAGAAGCTTTGTCCATAATCACCGTGGTGAGAAGTAGACATGCGTGGCACCGGAGAAGTAGCTGAGAGCTTTACATTCTGACCTGGAGGCAGCAGGCAGAGATGCCCCGCCTCCAACAACAGCACACTCCCCAGCCCCCCCCCCCCCCCTTTAACAGTTCACTATCTGGAGACTAAGGACGCAAATGCATGAGCCTCTGGAGGCTATTCTCATTCAAGCCACAGGGACAGACATTTAGGACAGTGGCTCTCAACCTTCTCCATGATGTGACCCTTTAGTACAGTTCCCCAGATGTGGTGACCCCCCCAACTATAAAATTATTATTATTATTTGGTTTTTTCGAGACAGGGTTTCTCTGTATTGTTTTGGAGGCTGTCGGTCCAGCCCAGCCTCGAACTCACAGAGATCCGCCTGCCTCTGCCTCCCGAGTGCTGGGATTAAAGGCGTGCGCCACCACCGCCCGGCTCCCCAACTATAAAATTATTTTTGTTGTTACTTCAGAACTGTAATTTTGCTACTGTTATGGATCATAATGTAAATGGCCGAGTTTCCGGATGGTCTTTGGAGACCCTTGTGAATGGTTCATTCAGCTCCCAAAAGCGTCATGGCCCACAGGTTGAGAACCACTGATTTAGAAAGGGCAAGCCAGACAATGATGTTACAAGATACCAAAGAGGATTGTTTCACATGAGGGATGGTTAAAATGTCTAATGTCACTAGGATGCCAAATAAGATACAGATAAGATCTGCCTCCCAGGGCAACGAGGCAAGTTATAGTCTTCCGTCAGTCTATTTAAATTATTTAGACAACCCTCGCTCTTAGTTTAATGCAATGCAGGGTCAGAGAGATAGTTCAACAGTTAAGAGCATTTAGCTGACATTGCAGAGGACCTGAGTTTAGATCCCAGCACCCACAAGGTGGCTCACAGCTACCTGTAACTCCAGTTTCATGGGTTCAGTGACCTCTTCTGACTTCAACAGTCTCTGTGTGCATGCACATGGTGCCCCTACTTGCATTCAGGCAAACACCATAGAAACAAAATAAAATAAAACAAAATAAAATAAAATAAAACACTCATTTCTGCCAGGCTTTAATGGCACACACCTTTGATCCCAGCACTCGGAAGGCAGAGGCAGGTGGATCTCTGTGAGTTCAAGGTCAGCCTGGTCTACAGAGCGAGTGTCAGGATAGGCTCCAAAGCTACACAGAGAAACCCTGTCTTGAAAAAACCAAAACAAAAAGCAAGCAAACAAACAAACAAAACCCCCACTCATTTCTATGGGGTTTGCCTGAGTACAAGTGTGGGCATCATGCACATGCAGTGCCTGCGGAAGCCAGAAGAGGGCACTGGACCCATGAAACAAACATGACTGTACAGCAAAGGATAACCACCAGGCTGCAATCTGCCCCAGAGAAGCCAGGTAACAAGGAGGACCTAAGAGGGACGGATGGATCTCCCAGGGAAGAGGACATAGATGAGGTGTCCTGGGTAAACTGAGGGTGCAGGAGGGTAGAGGGGGAGGGGATGGAGGAATGGCAGCATGAAGGATCAGGATGGTCCAGTTAGGAGTGGGACGGAGGGGGCAAGTCATGACTGTTGATAGAGGGGGGCACTATGGGGTTAGGGAGTAACCTGGTGTTAGGGAAACTCCCAGGAACCCGCAAGGACGACCCCAGCCGTGGAGAGGGTGTCTGAACAGCTCTTCACCTTCCATCGATTGGCGACTGCCCTAATTGTTATTTTAGAGCCTTCATCCTGTACATGATGGGAGCAGATGCAGAGAACCACAGCCAAGCACTGGGCCGAGCTCCAGGAGTCCAGTTGAAGAGAGGGAGGAGGGATTATATGAGCAAATGGTGGCGGGGATCAAGGTCATGATTGAGAAGACCTCCAGAGACGGCTGACCTGAGCTTGTGGGAGATCGTGGACTCTGGACTACAGCTAGGGAGTCAGCATGAGACTGACCTAGAGCCTCTGTATCTGGGTGACAGTTGTGTTGCCTGGTCTTTTGTGGGGCCCCTAGCAGTGGGACCAGGACCTGTCCCTGACGCATGAGCTGGATCCTTGGAACCTATTCCCTATGGTGGGATGCCTTGTTCAGCCTTGATGCAAGAGGGAGAAGTTTGGTCCTGCTTCAGTTTGACATCCCACGCTTTGTTGACTCCCAATGGAGGCCTGACCCCTTCTGAATGGAGATGGAGGAGAAGTGGGTGAGGAAGTAGTAGGGAGGTGGGGGGTGGAATGGGAAGAGGGAAAGACGGGAAAACTGTGGTTGGCATGCAAAATAAAAAAAAATCTTTGAAGTGATTGCAGTCAGCCATCGTCTTGGAATAAAGTAACCAGGGCTTATATGGAATTTATTTGTCCTAAGCAGAAAACTTCTCATGATACTGGTCCAAAAATTTCTCAGACATGTCTTTTTTTTTTTTTTTTTTTTTTTTTGGTTTTGACTTTGAATCAGGGTTTCTCTGTATTGTTTTGGAGGCTGTCGGTCCAGCCCAGCCTTGAACTCACAGAGATCCTCCTGCCTCTGCCTCCCGAGTGCTGGGATTAAAGGCGTGCACCACCACCGCCCAGCCTCAGACATATCTTCTAATAAATACTTGTCAATCAGCTCTGGTGTATGCATTGTGTATGTATACGTGCATACTCGTGTATGTGCACATGTTTGTAGAGGTCCATGTCAGGAGCTTTGCTCTCTCATTTTACCTCAGTTTCTGGGACAGGGTATCTGGGTTGACCCTGGAGCTTCTTCACTTACTCAGTTTGACTGGCTGGCCAGTGAACCCCAGGGATTGAGGCTGTTATGAATGGTGTTGTTTCCCTGATTTCTTTCGCATTCAGTTGTATATGGGAGAGTTACTGATTATTGTGAGTTAATCTTGCATCCAGCTAGCTTGCTGAATGTGTTTATCAGTTGTAGGAATTTCCTGGTAGAATTTTTAGAGTCACTTATGTATACTATCATATTATCTGCAAATAAGGATACTTTGACTTCTTCCTTTCCAATCTGTATCCCCTTGGTCTCCTTCAGCTGTCCTATTGCTCTAGCTAAGACCAAGTACTACCCTGAACTGGTAGATAAAGAGTGGACAGCCTTGTCCTGTTCTTGATTTTAGTGGGATTTCTTTGAGTTTCTCTCCATTTAATTTATAAGTCTTCTGTAAGCTGCTTTATTTTGTTTACGTATGTCCCTATTTTCTGCAAGACTTTTACCATGAAGGGGTGTTGGATTTTGTCAAAGATTCTTTATTCTGATGGGATGATCATATATTTTTTCTTTCAGTTTGTGTATATGGTGGGTTACATTTATTGATAAATTAGGCTTTTGAAAATACTTATTGGCCTTTATTTGTACACTGTAGAAATCTATCTTTACTATGAAGCACTAAACATTGGAAAAATCTAACAATGCAATAACTCTTTATGTGCTTCATATAAGCTAGGCACTACCAGATATGTTCAATCTATGGCCCATGGACTACATGTGGCTGAGGAAGGCTTTTAATTCAGCCTGATGCAAACTCCATAAATTTACTTTAAGCATCATGAGTTTTTTTCTGATATAGTTTTCCTAACTATGCTGTGCGATTCTCAACCTGAGCTTTGTAGGTGACCGTGTTGTCTTCCAGTGTTGAAGGCTGTTCACACTTGCTGGGCCAGCACTTGGCAGTCATTACCTCGTTATTTAAATTAAAAACAATCTTATTTTACATACCAATCCCAGTTCCCTCTCCCTCCTGTCTTCCCATTCCCCCACTACCCCCCTATCCCATCCCCCATCCACTTCTCAGGGAGGATGAGTCCTCCCATAGGGGATCATCAAAGTCTGTTACATCATTTGGGGCAGAACCTAGCTGGGGGCAACTCCCCCACCTGTATCTAGGCTGAGAGAGTATCCCCCTGTAGGGAATGGATTCCCAAAGCCCATTTCTGCACCAGAGATAAATACTGGTTCCACTGCCAGAGGCCCCAGAGACTGCTCAAACCCCCCAACTGACACCTACTGTCAGGGGGCTAGCAATTCCACTCTTAGGCATATATCCAAAAGATTCACATTCATACCACAAAGACATCTGTTCAACTATGTTCATAGCAGCATTATTTGTAAAAGCCAGAACCTGGAAGCAACCTAGATGCCCCTCAACCGAAGAATGGATAAAGAAAATGTGGTACATTTACACAATGGAGTACTACTCAGCAGGGGAAAAAAACAAAACATCTTGAAATTCGCAGGCAAATGGATGGCACTAGAAGAAACCATCCTGAGTGAGGTAACCCAGACACAGAAAGAAAAACATTGTATGTACTCACTCGTAAGTGGATATTAGACATAAAGCAAAGGATAACCAGCCTACAGTCCACAACCCCAGAGAAGCTAAGGAACAAGGAGGACCCTTAGACTGGACAAGATCTCCTGAGTAAACCTGGAGCACAAGGGCAGGAGGAGGAAGGTATGAGAAAGAGGAGGGGAGAAGGGGAGGGGGAACATGAGGGATCAGGAAGGTCAAACGGGGAGAACAGAAGAGAGCAAGGAAAGAGACACCTAATAGAGAGAGCTGTTACAGGCTTAATAAGAAATCTGGCACTAGGGAGATGTCCAGGAATCCACAAGGATGACCCCAGCTAAGAATCTAAGCAATAGTGGAATAGTGGAGAGGCTACCTTAAGTCCCCTTCCCATATGAGACTGATGACTACCTTATATGCCATCCTAGAGCTTTCATCCAGTAGCTGATGGAAGCAGAAGCAGACACCCACAGCTAAACACTGAACCAAACTCCTGGAGTCGAGTTGTAGAGAGGGAGGACTGATGAGCAAAGTGTTCAAGACCATGCTAGGGAAACCCACAGAAACAGCTGATCTGGGAGCTCATGAGCCCCAGACTGACAGTTGGGGAACCAGAATAAGACTGAGCCAGCTCTCATGAATCTATTAGCTATGTTTTTGTACATTTAGACTTACTCACGAAGGAGTTGAGACT